TATTAGTTATTAAACTGTTATTTTCCATTATAAAATTTACTAAAATGAAATTACGAGATTTTCGTTGCCTGCCATGGATAGGTTGAAAATTTTCACACTAATTGGAAGTCGACAATGTTGGTGCTTCACAAAGGGAAAATTCATAAAATTGTTCACTCATTTAATTTCCTAAAAGGTTACTTGACGATTTTAAGAAAGGGCCAATAAATACCTAATAATTTAAATATAATATCATATCTAGAGTTATAGAACCACATCAAAAGTATTTATGGTTATAAATATATACATGAAATATTTTTATATTTCACTTCTTTCACACAAGTACAATTAAATAGTATTTTAAACAATGACATTAGCATGATTCGGTGGATTTTAAATACTTTTTTTCAAACTTAAAAAAGTACATTAAAAGTTTACATTTAGTAAGGGAATTTAGCTTAATTTCATTAGAAACATGTGATTTACGTTAAGTAATGTTAGTTTTCTGAAATTATTATTTCTATTTTTTTTTTGTCACTCTGCGTTACCTTCTATTTATTTATTACATTTATTTATTTAATTTTATTTTTCTGAAATTCTTCGCTTCCTAACGATATATTATACGTATACCTTCTGACCGTTATTTCCGGAGATTCATTTTTAACCAGGATAAGCATTTTTCTTTTTTCTTCAGTTTCCAGTTACCATATTCTTTTAAACTTCATATTTAGCCATTTTTTATAGTTACTGTCAATATAAGGGAGTTGATTTTTTCAAATAATCCATATTAAAGGTGCTTTAGGAAAAGATGTATATAAACATTGTACATTTAAACTCTGTAAAGTGAGATTAATGGGGAAAAGACCTAAATCATATTAAAGACCACTTAATTATGCAGTGATACACCGAGTTTAATCATAATCGTTAGAGCAGTTTTTGATAAAACTGTAAATATGTGTGAGATACTTCCGATTAGCTGATTTTATATATAAAAACCTTAAATACGCTATTTAAGTTTCGTGCGAGTTTTCGTATTTGAGCTAGGCTGTTCAATTGCACACAGACACATACCCTTTAGCAGGACTTGGTTATTTGGGCTTAGGGGGCCTCAAAACGTGTATTTCCGTTGAAAACTCAGATTCGAAAATTTTAGCGATAGGAATACTTTCCCTTTGTTATATATTACATACATAGGTAAGCGAAAGTCAAAATACCAATATATTTTCTTATAGTTTTGAGGTTAAGCCAATTAATTAACAACTGTTTTGGTAACATTTCAAAATTTAATTTTTCTCTTAATAAATATGAGAGGACAATTGGTTTGATTATTTTTGTTGAGATGACTATTGACGTGAACCACTAGTCAAAAATTACGAATCACTTTATTCAACACTAAATAAATGGGGACTTGACAATCTACAATCGAAAAACCATCTATTTTTTAATAATATAATAAAAAAATTAAATTAACAATAAGGCCATAACTTTATAGATAAATAAACTATGTTTCAATTTAATTTGTTTTTATTAAGAAATTGTTTGCTTTATATTTATTAGGTTTTCCAACAATTTTTTGCTAGTGTTTGAGTTTTTGCTACACGTTTTTCGAATATTTACTGCCGGTTTCTAGCGATGAAGCTTGTTTCTCTTTAACAAAATTGTATTACATTCCAATTCTTAAAAATTGTGCTAATGAACATAAAATTCTAAAAAGATATGTTATTTGGTTATTCCTGTATTTCTTGCTTTGAAATATTCAAAAAATTAAATATATATATATATATATATATATATATATATATATATATATATATATATATATATATATATATATATATATATATATATATTCCAGAAGAGATTTTAATAATGAACTTTCGTTCTACTTTTTCTTATGTAAAATTTCAGATTTATTTCAAATTATTATTTACTTCAAATGGCATATCTATTTAATATTAATTTCGTAGTAACGAATTTCTTTTATTGCCATATATATCTTGGATAGTTATTATCTGTTCCTCAACCGTTTTGAATATGCAATATACACAGATTTTTTTTTTATCATTTATGTCTTTAGTATAGGCAAAATTAAAATTAGTAAAAGAACGTAAGTATAATTTTTAAATGATTTCAAGATAAAAAAGAATATAACATATAATTATTATAATATTCAATAATTATAATAATAATATCAATTAATACATTACTTGTGATATTTAGCTCTTCTACAATTTTTTTCCATGTAACCTCCTTTTTAATAATTTTTTTAAATATTTGCTTGAGGTGTCATCAAATAAAAATGGACAATTCCTCACTTTTTATATAAATAATTCGGTGTTTTACATATCTATATGAATACTACCACTAAATAATTTCAACTGTAATTTGTATCTATAATATTTTTCAAACATAACGCCGACCCCGGCGATACACCTGTAATATTTTTCAAACGTAACGCCGGCCTCGGCGCTATAAAATGTACCGCTGAGGTGTAACGCCCTCTGTGTGACTGCTATAGTGGAAAAGATAGTAACACATCTGTAGCGCTGTAGCGCGGCGCTAAATAACGCCTTCTGTGTGAACACGCCGTTATAATCCTGCAATAATCCGATTAACTTGGGTATTAGCTAACTTTTCTACCTACATTAGGTAGAGAATAACGTCGAAGGAGGGCGATATTTTTGTAATTTGTATCAATGTATCGCCGGCCCCGGCGCTACAGCATGTATCGCTGTGGCGTAACGCTCTCTATGTGACTGCTATAGTGGAATAGATAGTAATACAACTGTGGCGCTATATCGCCGCGATAAATATCGCGTTCTGTGTGACCGAGCCTTTAGAGACACCGCCTGTTTGTTACCAGTAGCTAGTTATCCTGTATTTATTTAGTGAAATTTGTTTATTTCTTTTTGAATAACGTTAATTATTGTAGACAAAAACTACATATCTGAAATGATTTTTAAGTGGTCATTGAACAAATAATCTATAATTACTTAAACAATAATGTTTTAGGTATAAAAATTTTACATTTTTTCTTGGAACGTGTTCACATTTAGTAGCTGTTTATGCATTACGATGTATAAGCAATGTATATTGTAATTGTTTAAGAACTTAGTTTAGATCACTCACACAAGCAAATACGGACAAATGAAAAAAAAAAAAAAAAGTGTTTTTGGAGAGTCTACAGCCTAAAAGCTGTTACCCTTCTCCCATACATTCCGTCAGTGGTTGTTTCATTATACTTTTTCAATTTATAAAAATTATACTTCAGGACCTGAAATAAACTCTTTTAATTTTCAGCCATTAAATCTTATAAGTGGTCCCAAATACCTAGTGAATTTCCTAAGGAACTTCAACTTTAATCAATGACAGAAATACTGAGAGTATTGTCATATAACGTATAAGACTTTTTTTTTTCGTTCTCCTCCTTCTCGCTTTTTAGGCTATACTCAGTTTTCCGGGGCCAGAGGGTGAGGATGGGGGATTAATACAGTAATTAAAAGCCCCTTCTAGATATAAGTATCTGTTTATTTGGTTGCCGGGCAACGGCGCTGTTGTGCACACGCGTTAGACCGCTCGACCACCCCACTGCCAATAAGTATAAGAGTATAAAGGCGTAGCAGTTTCGTAATGTAGGCATCGAAAACAAACGTAATGCATATATGCCGCTTGACAGGTTGCATACACAACCTATAATTATGGTCGAGATCAAATAACATATTGTTTGTTGAAGAACGGAAATATTTAGTTATGTACCTAGACAAGTGCTTAACTTTGATTAACCCTATTAAATATTTCAGGGATAGTTGATCAAAAGGGTTCGGGCTCCTCAAGTGCCTCCTGCATCCATTTCGGAGAGCATGTCTGAGAGTATGTGTTTCATGAGGATCTACATGGCTACAATAAGAAGCAAGATAGATTATGGCTCGGTCATTTATCATAAAGTCAGAAACCTCTTTGTAAAGTATGTTTCGAAACTGGCTTCATTCCCGAATCACCCATTGAATCCGATTAGAGGGGAAACATTAGAATACATAAACCAGAGAAATAAAATTGATTTAATCAATCCCATCCCTGGAACATAATAGATTACATCCATAATTAGAGATTACATCCAACAGATTCCAGACATTATCAAAGAGCCTTGGTGCCATGATAAAAATATAAATATATCACTATCAAAGGTTTTCAAAGTCTCGATTTGTCTTATAGAAATTCAAAAAATATTCTTGTTACTTTTACAAGAATTTAAAGAATATAACGTAATGTGTAAACATGCATCTAAAGTTGAGGATTTAGTGGTAGGATGCACTGTGATAAAAGAAAACCAAACATTTCTTTATAAATTGCCTGAAGCCTGCTCAAATATTCAGACACTAGCTGAATGGAATCAGATCTAGCAAAAGAAACCTTCCTAACTAGTCAACATAAAAGTAATCAGTTCTGAATGGTGCACGAGTAACTGGATATCAAGAAGAGAGGAAATAATGTTGTGCCGCCTCCGAATCGGTTACTGTGAATTTTCGCACGGCTACTTACACCATAACTGCCTCAGATGTGGTTTCCCTAGAACCGTGAATCACGTATTTGTGGACTGTACATATTATGAGGCCACAAAGTAGAACCATAACATGCTTGGAACTGTTCAGATGGAAGTGTTACAGGATACAGGGACAATTGTGGAGATCCTGATGTATTTCTTGAAAAAAAAAAAAAAACGGTATTTTACAGTATGATATAGAAATACTGAATAAAGAGAGAATTTTTAGAGTTTAAATTTTCAATGACCCTATAGGATAGAGCCAAACTCAGTAAATAACTATGACCTATTATAAATAAAATGATTTCTCTTATTCTTTTATATACTACTTGCCATTTATTAATAGCTTAAACTAAATATAATAAAGAAGATATTAGTTCAATTATAAGTTTTGTTTTATGGATATGGATATAGGTTATTAGCAAAACAATATATTCTTTTTTAATTTTAGATGATTATAAAAATTTGAAGGATTTCTTACCCTAATGCTAAGCGATGCCACTTGCCATCTGCGAGCTGAGCCGGCACAAGAACTGATTGGGTTCCATTCGGCCCAGAGTGGACCAACTTCACGGCATCGGGCCCAGCAACCTCCACAGCGAAGTAACACTCCTCTTGTCGTCTTGATCTGAGGCTGAATAAAGTACCTCCTGCAGGCTTCTGCAACGAATGAATTATTGATTAGCATAACATATTTATCGATACCTATGTCAGCAATGAGAATTAAGAACATTAAATAGTGACAAATACATCAGAATAAATGCATTTCATTTAGATTCCTTTCTTTAATATGCAATTAAGTAAATTACACGAGGATTAAACAGGAGGCCTAATTTTAGGGGTTTATTTAATGTCCTTATATACTCAAATTGGGCAATTATGATGGAATATCGCAATAGGATACTACAGTACTCGTGCTTGTGTAGGAATGTGAACATTAATTTGGTTGTTCCGTCATGAGAAATGTCAAAAATTAAGGCTCACACTGAATACGATACACGATCAATGGCCGCTACGATCAGCACCAAAGTAGTATTACTCTATATTGTATTATTACGGTCACACAAAACACGATCTATCCAAATGATCCAGACTAGATTGCCTCGATAATCAAGTGGCAATCGCAGTTGGCAACTATTTAGGAAAACTCATTTTTATGTAAAGGCGGTTTGAAGAATTGATTTCAGTTACATGCCCTCCCATCTTAACTCTCTTGGATTCATACCATTAGATATTGATTGACTATTTTCTGAAAGCAGTTTTTTGTTGGTCCTTCTCCACCAATTTGGTTCCTATTTGTCCTGTATATTTCAATACTTCTATTTAGGGTGCTGATGGATAGGCTGCTGTTCAGGTCGTCCGGCCATATATCAGAAGTGGCTGAATAGTATCATTTTACATTCTCAATTTAAGATTTCTATGAATTTTCAGGGATATGAAAACCTTTTAATTCCTATCGTTGAATTTTCCTTAGCTAACTTTAATTTGTTAGCTTCGTTTACTTGTACGCTGATTTGTTTTTGTTGTTAATAAAATTGAGTTCCATTTACTTTTTTCTCCTTCAACTAATACATTTAAAAATGGTAGCTTATACTTATAGTACTAATAGTATACTTGAATAAATATTGATTTTTTTACTTTTGCGAAACTACATTTTCTAACGTCAACAAAACTATTGATGTAACGTAAAACGTATTTTCATATTTAAATTTTTTTCGCATCTCTGGGTAATTGTTGGGCCATGGTATTTGAAGTATCCTATTTTAGAACTTAGATTCAGGATAAAAAAAAGTCATTATCGATGATGCAAGAATTATTATTTCGCATCGTTTACGCGTTTATGAAAAAACAAAACAACTGATTCATTCTGATTAAGGCATACTTTCATAAATAAAATGCATGCATAACTTAAACTAAATTTTTGGGTTTGGCATTAAATCCAAATTTTATATAACGTTTTGAAGATATGAAAGACATTCAATTTCGCATACATAAGTTTACTAATTTATCTGAATGTATTTCTCAATTCGATAAATAAACACATAAATATTAGAGAAAATTGTTGAAAAGTAACATAGATGACGGAACATAGATGATATTTATAGAAAAAGAAAAAAAAAAAAACAGGCAACAGTAGAAATATATCGGTTTTCAAAGTCCCCTTAGGCGATGGAGATTGTCAACATATGATTCCTCTTGTTGATATTTGTTATAACAATTCTGATTTTCAATTTATTCTGATCTTCTCATGCATAATAATTCATCCTGTATTTTTCAATAACCAAAATATATTTTAGTAAATATTTTTAATTTTTACATTCAGATACCTGTATAGGAAATATATAGTAAGGGACAGTATTGCAATCGTTTTCTACGGGAATACATGTTTTGAAGTCTTCTGAGTCCAAATAACCAATTCCCGTAAAATGGTCTTTGTGTGTGTGTAAGTGAAATTTGTTTGGTGCGCGCACCGCAGCAGATTTTTTTCCCTGTTATAAACGTATTAGATAGTTTTATTTTTATTTATTGATGGCAAGTGTATATATGTACTCTTTTCGGGTACTGCTGTTAATGATTATTTAAAATTTATACAAATTTTAATCAATGACAAGTATATCTATGGATAGTGTCAGACTTTTATTTCGTGGTTAAAAATTAATTTCCGATTTTCTACTCTGATTGGATTACATAAGTGATTAAAATGAAACAGTTTCTCAACCAGAATAAATTGCTTTTTCTTCTATTTGTATATCTATATCTGATTGAATATAATTTTTATACAATTACTGATTATAAATAGCATATGATACTATTTCTTCCATTTGCCCGTGTATGTAATATATATTAAGGGAAAGTATTGCGATCGTGAAAATATTTGAATCTGAGTTCTAACAGAAGTACACTTTTTGAGATCCCCTTAGTCCAAATAACCAAGTCCCACCAAATGCTCCAAGTGTGTGTGAATGTATGTATGTCTAGCTCAAAAACGAAAAGTCGTATGAAACTGAAAACGAAATCGGCTAACCGAAGGTGTCACTTTATATCAACGGTTAAACACATTTTACAATATCCTCAAAAATGGCTCCAACGATTTTGATTAAACTCGGTGTATCATTGTAAAATTAAGTGGTCTTTAAAATCATCGAGATCTGATCCCTATTTATGTCACTTTACAGAGTTTAAATATTCAACATGTCTTCTTCTGAAGTACCTTTAATTTGGTTTATTTTTAATAATTAAGTATCTCTAATTATTAAGAGTAACGAAAACTTGCTAAATATAACTTTTGAAAAAAAATTGATAATTGAAAAATTGATAAAAAAGTCAAAATCTTTATTTAGGTCGAAAATGAATTTTTGGAAATAACAATCAGAAGTTGTGACAGTTGTCTGAATGAACGATCAAGCAGTACTGGAAACTTTTTTCCATTGATTTTTCAATTCAATTTCTAACGTCTCAACGATCAGAAGAAAAGAACCAAAATAAAAAAACAAAACAAAGAGGTAAACTGTAGGTCGTGGAATAAGATAATGAAGACGATGGAATAACCTAATTGTGCCTATTGACCTTGGATATATACTGGAATTTCCAAATATATTGTGGTTAATACTTCTTATTATGTTTTTATTAGTTGTTATTTTTAACAGAGTAACTAAAGATGAGAAGATTTAAGATCGCAATAAAGTAGATAAGATGGTAATGGATCCGAAAAGAAATCAGAAATGATGTCCTTAGTTTTATTGTGTTCAACGTTATTTATTTTCCAAATAGCCTATAGTCTTCTAGAATACAGCCAAACGTTTTTGATAAATCAAATGGAAGACAAAATAATTGAGAGTGAAGAGCATATAGGTATCACATAGATTCCTATTTTTCAGAATAGAAAATAAATGTGTTCTTAAAAAAGAATAATTTTTTGTTCATAGATTCTTAAAGAAGAAATTTAAAAAAAAAAAAACTATATACATATACTATAAATAATAAAAAAACACATGGATTTAATATATATATATTATAGAAAGTAAGAATAATACTTTCCAATGAAACTACCATAAAAATTCTTCTTAATGGATAAAAAAAAAAGAAAAAAAAATCATTTTAACTGCTGATGGCACGAGTGATCCAACGAATTTTTTTTATAAATTGAAAATATTGCGATGGTTTTAATCGTAGAGTAGAACATGATGAAAGTCTATGAAAGCGTGCTGAGTTCTCCTTGAAGGAAGGATAGCAATTTCCAAGATAAAATATGGAGACCGATGTTAAACGTTTTTCCTCGTTATATGAAATTTATGGATTTGCATAGGGAGTGTGACTAAGCTTCTTGCCATGCTGGGAGCTAATGGCTTGGTCTGCCATAGATGGTCTTGGATGGTGAATTTCCTCCTCATATCAAAGACAGGAGGGTGTTTTTGAGATGAAAATCCGAAATTTATCGGATTTAATCAGCAATTAAATACAGGTTAGTTATACATTTTATATTGTTATTCAAAAACCCTAGTTGATATAAAAAAAAATAGTAAGGATCGAGCGCACAGAATAATTTACTTTTTAAATGATAGCAGACTTTATGGTTAATATAAAAATATTAAATAATATAATTTACAATGAATACCACAGAGTCACACATCTTTGATATCACACACGTGCATGCCATTTCTTGTATTAAACCACAAATTAATTGTCAACTCTGTTTTGTTTTTTTCAAATCCCTTCTTTTTTCATTATTTAATTATTACCATATTAGTCTGGCGGCCTTCCATTAACAAGTCCTCTTCATCCCACATTAAAGTGAGAGGGCCCCAGAGCAGCTTTCCACCCTTACACAAAATCTTTGTAATACGGGTAGTTCTTCTCCGTCATTAACTGGGGAAATCCATCCTCCGTGAGGCCATAGACTCAAATTTTTCATTTTGGTCCTTAGTCCATCAAAGGGGGTGCAGTTGACGGTGACGTGCTCAGCCGTCTCCGGAACTCTGCAAGTGGGACATAGGGGATCATTTTTTTTTCCAAAACTATGTAACTTAGAGCGGAAACCCGCATGCCCAGTAAGGAATTGAGAAACTCAGTAGTCCGGGAGAACCCACTTCGCATTCAAGCGACTTCGAACGGTGGGGAAATATTTTCCTAAAGTTACTCCTTTTGAGGTAGTTACCCACCGCCGATTCCACTCATCTGTGGTATCCTCCCGGATAATCATCTTGCATTTTCTTATGTCTTCTGCAATCCTCACCCGGATATTCTCCGGAAGACCTGCTGAGTCTTCTTTTTTTAAACTTAAATATCAGCGAGTCTTCTCGCAGGAGAAGATCGAGACCCATCTTGCTATGATCTGCACCGCTTCTTGAGACACAATTCGGTATGACTTGGTGACACGCAACAGAGCCTATATGAAATATATAATAAGGGTAAGCATTGCGGTCTTGAACATTTTCGAATATAAGTTATTAGCGGAAATACATGTTTTGAGGTTCTCCAGTCCAAATAACCAAGTCTCGCCCAAATGATCGTACATGAACCTTTCAGTTGTCAGAACGCCGAACTCCAATTTCAACATTGCTTATTATTAATTTTAGTGATATTTTTTTTTAAGTATTAATACAGTCTGCCACACTGAAGGGCAAATGATATTCCTAGTGGCGAAATTCATCACTTTATTCACAATTCTACATTTCAGCATTGCAATTACCTACTCTGGAATCAACTTGCTCACTGTCTGTATAGATATAACTTTTTCAACTAGAATTATAACTAAAATGACATTACGCAAAAATGTTAAAATTATACTTATTCATTCTGTCAACTAAAAGGCTCAGGGACAGAAATTATATGGTTTATAAAACTAGAATTTTATTGCCTACCCTCGATATAATAAGCAGAATTTTTTTAATTTTAATGTGCTTAATGATTTCTTATAGGTAATCTTTAAGCTTTAGCTTCGTTTAAAATACATTTCAAAAATGTTATAATACTCCAACATTGCCAGAAAAGGGAAAGCTGTGTGTTGCCCGCACTAGATTTTTTTAATTTTAATCATAAAAACTACCATATCGTCAAAAAAGTTTTACTTTAGCTGCAGGTAAAGGTTATACGCTTTCATATTTCTTTATATATCGATACTTTTAGTGCAACAGGTTGTGTGTAAATATTGAGTGTTTTATAGGAGATCGTAAAAAAGTAATTATGTCTTTATGATTTACTAAACTGCTATATAGAAGTATCACTTAAAAAATTGTTATTAATGTTTTTTCTTTGGGGTGAATTTGCTTTTATTGTAATAAATAATAATAGATTATATTTGGAAAATCACAAACCACATAGCCTTTTGTCATTAAAATATTGAAAAAGAAAAAATTCCTCAACTTTTTGCAAAATTAGGTATCATTAGCAGGAGTGCACATCCCGCCTCCCCAAGGTCGATGGTTCAAGAATCTACCACTTCTCCACCAAAGATATTTTACTGCTCACTTTTTCTCAAATGGAGCAATCTAAGGTAAACTTAGAAAATTCGTATATCATATACAATATTAATGAATTAAAAAACTCTCACATTCTAATTTGCAGTGATTCATATTCAGCCCTCAAAGAAATGCAAATTTTTTTTCAACTCTCCAACATCCCTATTGCATTTTCCATAACGCAACTAATTGAGATAACAAACAAATTATTAATATTTCTCAGGGTCGCTAGCCATATTGGCATACCTGGAAATGAACTGGCTGACACAGGTGCCAAGGAGACCTGCACCATATTTCCAGAACCTATACCTAACACGGTGCTGTACGACTTCAATGCAGTCGTGCTGAATCATTGCAAAGAAGCATGGCGCAACTTTTGGTCCAAGGTGAAACTGAAGAACATTTATGGAGATAAAGAACTACTGCCTCAAATAACAGGGAATCGTCTGGAGTAACCCATAATTTGTTGACTCAGAATAGGACACACAAGGCTGACGCATGGACACCTCCTTGAAGGGAAGCCTCTTAGATGCAGCAGCTGAAACACCATTGATCATCGAGCACATCATGGAAAATTCTCAGCGCTTATATCCTTCAAGATTTTCACCAAGACTCCGGAGCTACTGTCAAGCCTTGGATCAGGAAAACCAAAAGAACTTCCTTCAATCATTGAAGGATAACAAACTGTATAAAATGATTTAAATTATGTAAAAGGAACACGGTATCTCTAATCTTTGTTGTTGTACATGGCACATTACACAGTAATTAAATAAAATAAATATACAATTAAACTTGCTGCAGTCTGTTTCATGTTTTCCTCTTGTCCTTTAGTTAGAAAATTCATATCCCCATAGAAATTCGCCCCCCTCAAACATTTAAAAATCCGTCAAAATATGCTCCCTCAAAAATTTGTATGGCCCGATTTGCTCCATGTAACACCCTGCTGGGGACCCCTGATAATCAGGACAGAAAAGAAACAGCTAATCGAGCATCCCTCCATGACATCGAATCGCATCTATTTCATCGCATGGTGTTTGCTGCGATTGTATGCATGGGTTTGGGGGATGTTAGATTGGCTGTTTTTTCTGTCTCGATGATTCCTGAATTGGGGAAACGTTGACGGTTTTTTTTGTCTTTCCTGCATTTTGGAGACATAAGACTTTTGTTTGAAAATTTTCCAATTATAACCAAACATTTATGTTCTGACTCTTAATTAGTTTGTTACTAATTTATATTAATGACAAACAAATTTACAAAAGCGTATTTCGTCCACATCGTTTTGCCAAATCTATTTCGTTATGGTTAAAATAGCTAGATGAAGGGCGTGGTCGAGAAAATTACAGTCACGAGATGGCTTTCATCGTAATGAGGTGCAAGTAGTAAGGCGGAAGATGGATTGTTATCAAGTCAGAAAATTAAATTTAGCAAGAAACAATTCAATTTAACATCCATTGCCTCTAGACTTTGACGTATGCTCTGATACAGTTTTGATTCTCGAATTTGTAGTAATTTGATAATTAGAAAAAAGTATGATTTTTTTTTTAAATGTACTATTATGTTATTCCATTGCAACAGTAATACCTAAGGAGCTTTTGGTAAGAATTGCGATCGAACAGGAAATTTCTGAACTGTACAGAAATTAAAATGTGGATATAGTGTTAAGGATGTATATCGGAACTCGATATTAAAATTTGATTCTTTAAAACATTATTAACATCGTCTCGATCCGTTGACTTTTCAAACCCTCTGCTTCACGAAACTTCTTAATGACTTTAATGGTAGTTTAAAGAAGATTTTAAGACTCGTAATTGGAATTCGTCACTTATCTATGAAATAATCTTTTATTTGATACCTCATTCAGCAAAATATATCGTTTTTAATTAAAAATCCGTTTGATACTCATTTATACAGATATTGGAAAAAAATTAACTAATATTTATCAATTAATTATCAAACAAAACCCACCATACTTAAATTTAGTTTTATAAATAAGAAGTAGAAACCTGACATTTTGTTTAGATCGTTATGCTTCAATTGGATAATTAACTATATTAAATTGTCTAAATATAATTTTTATTTTATTCCGGTGTCTTATAATATTTCATTAAGCCAATTGTACTCCCATAATATTTTTATTTCCAATCCCTATTTTGGAATCACAAAATTTAGGCCCATCGAGCCATTTTCAAGTCTCTCATGCCCTAGTTTAGTGTATTTCTTATGTAAAAACACGTATCTTCTTACAACAACTTAGCTGTCATTATCTGTTACCTACTTGCATTCTTTTATATGCCAGTACCCTTATTACCCTGTTCAATTGTTCCTGAGAAACAGTCAGAGAACATTCTCTCCGTAACAATTGAACTGATAATATGGAAGCTGACATGTAAAGGAATACAAATAGGTAAGATGATTATGACAGCTAAATCATTATAAGAAGACAAGTGTGTTTACATCAGAAATGCAGTAAACTAGGACATGATAGACTTAAAAATTAATCGATGAGTCGAGACGTCGTCATTCCAAATAAGGATTGGAAATAAAAATATGATTGATATACTATTGCCTTAATGGAATATAAATTAGTAAATTTAATAGGTTTTCAGCTAACGTTTTTTATTAATCAAAAAGCGTGTCAATGATCCGCTGATCTTGATACACCATGTACAGGTAGTAACACAATTTATAAATTAGCTATGATGATTGTACGGTTAAGCGAAAATTATTCTTTCATAGTGGCATGGAATAATATTTCGTTGAACATAGAAATTTATTCAACATGGCAGATACTATATATATCATTAACCGGTTGAATGATTCGGAAGGGAGGAAAAATCATCAAACCATTTGAGGAAAGCGCTGAGCTCATATGGTTGAGCCCAGTTGTAGGCCAGTGATTAATGGGGGCTGTTGGGAATGATCAGTGCTTCCACTCCAGCTTAGTAGGCGGCCAGCGTATCTTACCACTCCACCCGATCTCTAATGGATTCGATCCATGGATTAGTTTGCTTTCATGGAGTGAGTTTGAAGGGATGAGTGGAATCTCTGGTGGACCGAAATATGGGGTCATTATACTCAGCAATGGGCCTTTGCTCATAGCGATCAATATTCGCACGACGACTAGTCTTTCAATAATTCGAATATTTTATAATGGATTATGAATTAATTATTCCTCAAATTTTTCTCAGGTATTTGTTAAATTGAAATCATTGGTGGTCTCCAGATTATTGTTAAAGGCTCCACAAGTACTGAAGTCTCGTGTCTTGCAAAATTTTGCCAGCTTTGTGATTTTATCACAAGTTTAAGTTTATGTGTTGTGTGCACCATACCTTGATATTCTGCAGTTTGTATGACAACTAAAAAGTTGAATGCTTGGAAGTGACTAATTTTCAATAGAAAGAAAATTAATTTAATCAGTTAAATTACTAAATCAATATGCATCTGATTAGGTATATTATGAATTATCCGTTATACTTTTTTGACATTACAGTTCTTAATAGTTTGTTGCAAATTTTTTTTACCTATTCATTTCTCGATCCACATTTTGGTCGCGATCTCTAAAATAAATTTTACCATCCCACTTAAAATTCTAATTTGTTCACTCTCGTTTATATATCACGTTTTCCATAACCAAATATTTTTCATTAAGAAGAAGAAAAAACTTCGATGGTAACATATGTTGTGGGGTCACTAATACCGACCAAATGTCAATTATATAATTATTGGAATTGATGTATTTGTTCATGGTAAAATATGAATATATGGATAGTGTTACAAGATAAACAGATGAATTAAGAAATGAATAAATTAATTATTCCTTTAAATAATCGTACGGTGTCAGAAGAAGGTAACAAGGTAGTTGTCTGTACAAAAATTTTTTTTATGAGAAAAAAAAATCATTTTGCCTCAATTAAGCGCATTGAGTATTTGGAATATGTGAAAAAATAATACCATATATACAATAAAATGAAAACAATAGAAAGTTATAAGAAAATAAAATAAAATAAACAGAATAAATCAAACATGAGGCAACATTAAATAAATAAAATTAAATTAAAAACACATTCATACTTATTTACAATATTTACAGTCAGCCGAGGGATCTCCGAGTTGGGCCCTTGCCCCCACGTGTGGGGCGTATTGCATATATGTTTCCAGTTTATTATCGTTATATAAATCAGACTTGAATTCATAATGATAATAGTTTTTAAAAACATTTTTATTTTTTGCTTCAATTTCGTAATGTATTTTAATTTGTGTTGTTTTTCCTGCTTTGCATTTAAATAAATTAAATAAATAAAATTAAATTAAAAACATATTCATACTTATTTAAAATATTTACAATCAGCGAGGGATCTCCGAGTTGGGCCCTTGCCCCCATGTGTGGGGCGTATTGCATATGTGTTTCCAGTTTATTATCGTTATATAGCTCAAACTTGAATTCATAATGATACTAGTTTTTAAAACCATTTTTATTTTTTGCGTCAATTTCGTATTGTATTTTAATTTGCGTTATATTTCCTGCTTTGTTTTTATTTATTATCTTGATTGTCGGTCTTTGCATTTTCCTCCCTACCCAAAAGCTTAAAATAACCCGTTATAAGATTTTTATTTCTCTTAGTCATATTATTATTTTTTATGTTAAATTATTTCTAGGCATTTCATATTACATATTATCAACATTTTTATTATTATATATGTATACCACAGTTTGTTGATAAATTTATACGGATAAAAATTATTTACCAAAATAATATATATAATTAAATTATATATATATATATATATATATATATATATATATATATATATATATATATATATATATATATATTTATATATGATTGTAACATATGTTATGGGGTCACGAAGACTGACCAAATGTAAAATGATATCATTAATGGGAATGATGTATTTGTCCATGATAAAATATGAATATATGGATAGTGTTTCAAGATAAATAGCTAAATTAATTATTACTTTATTTAATCGTGCAGTGTCAGAAAAAAGGAACAGCGCAGTTGGCTGTACAATGTTTAAATTTTGGTTTTAACAAGTAGCTAGGAAAGTGTTAATTAACTGCATAATTTGTTTTATACTTATAATTTCCCATTGGTTATAAAGATGGGAAGTATTCAAATTTTTGAAAATTATCATCAAATACCCAATTATGTCATACATATTTAAATAATGATTATTAAGTTAAAAGAATGTTCACAGGAGGAAAAAAAGTTCAGAGTTAATGTAGAGTTACCGTTTACAGGGTTCAATCTGCTAATGGATGCGTGTTCTTATAATTAAATAAAGTACTTCACTTACATAAAAAAATTGGAGCGGTCAGTCAACTTTCACTTACCTTTATAATTTGAGTAGAAGAATATGAGATAATTGACGGTAGAATATATTAATTTAAAGCAATCATTTACCTCACTACCCACACTGCAAAAAAATGTATGAACAAAAACTAAAAATTTTCAAAAGAGGAAAAAACTGCTTAATTTTTGTTCTATGAGAATTATAATTTCGGTTAAATTTTGTTTGCAGGCCAAAGACAAATATATATACTCTATGTAACTTTTTGATCGTTTCTCAGCCAATTAATCTTTTAAAACCATTAATTCTAACTTATTCTTTTTTAGTAACTTTGAAAAACAGGCATTAGTTCGGTAAAATCTTAAAATATATTGTAGTAACACATGACACTTTATATGTAATGATGAAATCATGACAGAAACCAAGTCAGTTTACAAAATTTAGAGAAACAGTTCTTCAAATGACAATTCTCAAGACATTTGACCGAAAAGCGAATATTTGATAACTTGGGTTATTAACTTTTTTCTCTCCCGCTCTAGGGGTGGTTCGAACGGAGTGCATGCGCCCATATTGGAGTGGCCCATGAAAGCTTCGTGGTTTGATTCAGGAGTGCTTGGTGAGTTCTAGGAAACCTGCTGATGTATAGATCACATCTTTTCTGAGCTTCTTGCGATTTCGAAGGTTCATTAGTTTGAAATGAGGAAACTTAAGTTCTTTTTTCTTCTCGTATTAAATTTTCCAAATAATCAATTTTCTGTCTTTCACTATCTGGAATTCGATGGCATTCTACCTTTTTTTCAGTCAAGCTCATTTTGTAGTTGCCAGGAGGTTTCGAAAACCGTTCAATATTATATTCCCTCTGAACGCTCCCTTCTTTGTTTCGTCTAATTCCATAGTAAGTAGCGATCACCCATGGCAGATGAACCCGAGCGTTTGCCTAGATTCGCCGGTCTGGAATTGCCTGTCACTTCTTAGAAATTAAAAAAAAATATATACAAAGAATATGAGAAAAAATAATTTTAGCATATTAATTAAGCGAATTTCTACTGTAGTCTATACAAAAAAACGCTTTATGCATTCTATATTTACATGATTATCTTTTATTGAACATTTCATGACATTTTTTCGGTAACATCAAAATATCTATAGACTTCACTGAACTTACAGTTTTTTACATCACAATTTGATGGTTTTTTAATTACAGGTTTTTATAAAATGATATAGAGAAGAAACAAGAAGAAACAAAACATCGTAGATTGCATTTGTGCGATCAGAATATGGGCCAGAATCTCATTTTTCAAAGAAATGTTTAAAGCTTTACAGGATTTTGCAGTATGACTGTCGATATGATTTCACCACTAGTTTAATCTATTGAATTTATTCCTTTTTCGTCAATCTCCATTTCCTTCTACGGCTATATCTTATTATTTTTCAAATCATTGTAAGTTCTAAGAAACGTGTTCGTAACTAAGTCCGTTTTTTCTGTAAAAGATCAACTTTTATTTAGTCAAGATTTTAGGAAAACATTTTTAAATGAAAAATAATGGATAAATGGACTACAAGGTAGGTAATATAACTTACTTTAAATGAATTGTTTGGTATATTATATCTTATATGTTAACAAAAAACTTCACAATTATATTTTCTTAGATCCTCTGTTGAAGAAATGAATGACTTCAACAAATCCGAGGTAAATAAATATTTATAAGACATTTAACTGGAATGTTACTTGAGAAAAAAGTTCTTATTAAGAAATAGCAGAAAAAGAAGTAGGAAATAAAGTTTTTATTCATATCGGAGCTGATTAAAGATAAAAGTTATCTTTTCATTTCAAGTATTGCTTTTTATTTTTGCAATTTAATTTTCTATTGCTTCCTCTCTACCGAAGGTAGGCAAGCATTGAATTCGTGCGAGAGGTTAAATTATTAAATTAAAAATTATGTGCTCGTAATCAGAAATTTCCAACTGCGTTTTACGTTTTAGACATCAAGGATCAAATATCTGCAGATCTATCTGTATGCAAATCGATGTACCATTCATCAGATTTTCATGACATTTTTAGGGATTGTGCTG